CTGGGAGGAAGGAATAGAGGCAGAGAGAGAACCCAGGATACAAGCTGTAATCTTCTGTCCAAGCTACTGGCCTTATCTTAAAGGTGGCATTCCATTCCTTCTGTCATATTCTATTTTTTAGAAGCTAGTCACCAAATCTGCTCAAACTTAAGGAGAGGGAAATTAAACTCCATCTCTTGAGGGGAAGAATACCAAAGAATGCATAAACATATCTTTAAAACTACTATGAGTACAGGGGTGCGTGAGTGGCTCAGTCGGTTAAGCATCCAGCTCTTGATTTCATGATCATGCAGTTTGTCCCTGCATTGGACTCTATGCTGACAACATGTGAAGCTTACTTGGGACTCTCTCCTACTTCTCTCTCTCTCTCTCTCTCTCTCTGCCCCTTCCATGCTCTCTCTCATTCTCTCAAAATAAATAAATGAAACAAAATAAAAACCTACAGTGAGTACAAAGAATAATACAACAGTGGGGTACTCATTGCCCCAAATTGGCAATTATTATCTTATTGTATTTTTCTCAAAAACATTTTCTTTTTTAAAAAAATTTTTAATGTTTTATTTATTATTGAGACAGAGAGAAACAGAACATGAGTGGGGGACGGGCAGAGAGAGACAGAGACACAAAATCTGAAGCAGCCTCCAGGCTCTGAGCTGTCAGCACAGAGCCTGATGTGGGGCTTGAACTCAGGAACCGTGAGATTGTGACCTGAGCCAAAGTTGGCCGCCCAACTGACTGAGCCACCCAGATGCCCCTCAGAAACATTTTCAATTAAAAACATTAGAAATAAAATCTTCTTTGTTCCCATGTGCAGTGTGAGTCCCTTTCTTACTCTCCAGAGGCAACAATTTTCAAACCATATGGCATATATTTCCTGTATGTTTTATTCTTTTATATAAATATAGTGAAAATAATAAATAGCATTGTTTCGTGAGTTTTTAAATTTTTCACAATTGGTATCATATTTGTGCATTCTTCAGCTTGCTTTTTTTCACCTTTGAGATTTATGGATGCTGATATAGTTGGACCTAGTTCAATACTGCATTATATAAACAGACCACTTTCAATTCATCTACTGACAGAGACTGTTTCCTAAGTATAAATCACTACTATAATCAATGCTGTGAAAAATAGCTATAATCATGTCTTCTTGTGTGCATGTGTGTGAGTCTCCCCAGAGCAGGGTTTCTATCTATTTGGCCCCCATCTCACAATGGCAGCTCAGGTGTCCTTGTAACCAGTTGCATATATGTAGCTGAAATCAACGTTTTATGAGAAACAGTACTTATCTTTTCTACGAATAATGACTTCTGATATTACCTATCTTTACTCTATATTCTTTTAACTTGCTAGCTAAGAGCTACTTGATTTCTGGACCCACTATAGGGTGTCCATCTGCTGTTTAAAAAACAATCCTCAGGGCACCTGGGTGGCTCAGTGGCTCAGCTGAAGCATCCGACTTCAGCTCAAGTCATGATCTCATGGTTGGGGAGTTCAAGCCTCGCGTAGGGCTCTGTGCTGACAGCTCAGAGCCTGAAGCCTGCTTCAGATCCTGTGTCTCCCTCTCTCTCTGCCCCTCCCCCACTTGTGCTCGGCCTCTGTCTCTCAAAAATAAATAAATGTAAATAAATAGCTTTTAAAAAAAGAAAAAAGAAAAACAATCCCCTAGGTCTGTTATCTTGTTGTTACAGCATACATAGTTTATGAAAGTTTAAATTTTACAAGACATTGCAACCTAGCTCTTCAAAATTGTATGAGTCTATACCACCACCACCACGCTCAGCAGTGTATAAGAGTTCAGTTCCTTTTTGCCCACATTGACACTCACACTCCATATTCTCAGATTTCTTATTTTTGCCAATATCATTATTGGGTCTCATTGAAGCGTAGATGAAAGGAAGCCTGCGCAAATGTCCCATTATTTTTGTTTGTTTGTTTAAGACATACTGGTATAATGGGAGAATTCTCCTATGCTTGTCCTCATGGGTGCTGTATGTCATTACTGAGTTCCTTGGAAAATATATTAAAAGGAGATAAGGAGACTATGGGAGCATCCGTCAGAGGAAGGACAGAAACCTCACCTCCCTGCATGGCTTCTTTTTGTTTTCCAAGGAGGCTATTTCAATAAGCTCTCTATAAGTTCTCCTCATCTTTAGCAACTACTTCTTCTACTGAGCAAAGAATAGGAGATAATCCCAGAAGAACTTTGCTATATCCTACCTTTCATCTATAAATCTATTAACCCATGTTTCCTTTCATTCCCTCTCCATCTGTCCTATCCCAAAGCAAATGGTGACCTTCTTTCCAGCCAAGCCTAATTTTTCTACCCCAGCACTGAGCACATCCTTTGAGGACTCTTACTCCATAAATGATCCTGTCTTTTTCCTCTTTCTTAAACTCCCCCACACAACCTCATCATTCCCTTCAGTGCATAAACACGTTCAAGTTTTCGCTTCCTGAATAAGGTCCTCCCTTGTTCCTCTCTGTCAAGTTTTCGCTTCCTGAATAAGGTCCTCCCTTGTTCCTCTCTGTCTGACTTCCTTTTATTTATCCTCAAGCCCAAGCATCACTTTCTCAGAGAAGCATTTCCTTTCATTCACAGTGCCTATTGTTTCTTTTCCTTCATCACATTTATCTATGTGTTTATATTCTTTTTTGAGGGTCTGCCTCCTCTCCTATACGGTCAGCTCCAAGTAGTCAGGGACCTTGAATCCCTAGTTCCTAATATAAAACAGGCACTGAGTACATACTGTTGTGTGATTATTTCTTATTATTTCTAGCTTACAGCCTCACTCTTCTCATCTCCATTCCTACATAGGGCTGACATTTCAAGATGAAAAGCCTGTTGGATCCCTTCTGAGCTTGAACAATGCTGCTGGCTCCTCAGCCTGCAAAGTACAGTCCACTCTCCTTAGCACAGCAGAAAGGCTTCTGTGAAAATAACTGTCCCCTCCCCCCTCAAAGCAAAGCAAATACTGTCTCTTCTAGTAGAGGAAGCAGAACAGGAAAAACTCAAATCAGCTAATATTATTATTCGCTGACAGCCCTGATTAAAGAAGTCGTAGAGGAAGAAGAGTTTAGAACCCATAGATAAAGGTGGTTATGTCATTACTTAGAAATTTCACCCTGATGCCTTTGTTTTTGTTTTCCTCCCGCTCTTTTCCTTTGGTGATAAAACATTCACCTGTTGTGTGCAAAGGAAGGGAGCCAAACATTTCATTGGGCAATTACAATTACAATACACCAGGCCTTGGGCTAAACGCTTTGTTTACTTTATCTGATTTAACTTAATTCCTTCAAAATCCAGAGTACTTATCATCTCCTGTTTCAAAAATTAAATGACCGAGGCCAAAACTATCAAATATATCAAGAAAAATGAAATGTTCTGATGATTTCCACATTATAAGAAAGTGCAGAAGGCCTGCACATTAGCTATGCTTTTTATTAGTTAATATCATATCACAGGTCATCTCTGGCATGTGTGATAATCCCGTCTCTCTCTTCATTATCTCTTATTCTTCTCTTCCTCTTGGCTTGTTCTTCTTTCTCTTACTTTCTATTTTGTTCATTTTTCTCTCTGCCTATCTCTCATACCCATCACCAGTTGTATGGTTGCTTTTTAAGCCCAAATGGTTATTGACTACTTATTTCAATGGAAGGAAAGCAAACAGAAAGAAAGCCTTTTAAAAACTGAGCTAGAATGGCAACAAGCTATAATGATGTCATGGTACTTGACCGAAAGAGATGAAGTCATACATTCTAGTCAGGCTTCTGATATGCAGGGGAAAGGTTCTGAATCATTACTAGTAATACTGAGGTTCTCAACTTTCTGTTTTGAAAAACAGAATCTGCAACCACAAGACATGAACATTTTTTTAAATATTTATTTATTTTTAAGAGACAGAGTATGAGCAGGGGAGGGGCAGAGAGAGAAGGAGCCACAGAATCTGAACCAGGCTCCAGGCTCTGATCTGTCAGCACATAGCCCCATGCAGGGCTTGAACTCATGTGAGATCATGACCTAAGCTGAAGCCAAACACCTAACAGACTATGCCACCCAGGCACCTCAAACATGAGCATTTTATCAGCACATGAGAAGTTACCAGAGATCCGGAAGCTAGGAATGGAAGCAAGAACAAACCTCAGAAGGGTGGGGAGAGGGACTGCCAGAAGGGGATGGGGGATGAAATAGGTGAAGGGGATTAAGAAGTGTAAACTTCCTGTTATAAAATAAGTTGTGAAGGGGGTACCTGGCTGGCTTAGCAGGTGGAGCACGTGATTCTTCATCTTGGGGTTATGAATTCAAGCCTGACATTGGGTATAGAGATTATTTAAAAATAAAATCTTTTTTTAAAAATATTTTATTTATTTCTGAGAGAGAGAGAGAGAGAGAGAGAGAGGGGGAGACAGCATGAGCAGGGGAGGGTCGGAGAGAGAGATACAGAATCTGAAACAGGCCCCAGGCTCTGAGCTAGCTGTCAGCACAGAGCCCGATGCAGGGCTCGAACCCATGAACTGTGAGATCATGACCTGAGCCAAAGTCGGATGCTCAACCAACTGAGCCTCCCAGGCGCCCCTAAAAATAAAATCTTTTAAAAAATTAGATTAATTAATTAAACAAATAAACTGTGGAAATTAAAAGTACAGCATAGGAGATACAGTCAATAATATTCTAATAATGTAGGGTGAAAGATATTGACTGCACATATAGTGGTGAGCATTGCATAATGTGTAGAATTGTTGAATCACTATGTTGTACACCTGAAACTAATGTAACATTGTACATCAACTATATCTTTTAAAAAATCCTTAATGTAACACCTGTGTCCAGGGGCACCAGAAGTCATGGAGCCATTGGCACTATCTAGTGTTCAAGGCCAGCAGTGCAAAGCTACAGGGTTTCTCACCCAGCAAGGACACTAGTACCCTTCCCAGATGATGCTAAAGTGGGTCTGTGTCTGTGGTTCTATTCAACTGGCCTTTCCTATCCCTCTTTGCAGACCCTGGTTCTCTGGTTTCTTGGAGATTCTGTGAGCTATCACTATTCCTTCAGATCTATTCCTTCAGACAGAAGAAGAAGAAGAAGAAGAAGAAGAAGAAGAAGACGACGAAGACGAAGACGAAAACAAAAGAATGGAAGCAGAAGAAAGAAACCTTCCTGTAAAGGGCAGAGACTTAAGGTGTGGACATCTGAAAGTAGCATCATGTAGAAAATTCAGGATGAGACTGGTGGGCCTAAAATTCTGCCCATTAATTAGGTTCTGAGAATGTAGAGGCTGCTTTGGAAAACCAAAACTCTATTACTAATCCAGGAGATTTTATGCTGTATTTGAGTGTTAAAGTTAAGCCTGGCACAACAGGTGCTTTCCATTTTGATGCTTTCTGATCCTCACTTTCAGACAAACAAGAAGAAACCAAGGGGATTAATCATTTCCTAGGTTCAGTTTCAAGAAAAGATATTCATTTATTTGCAAACTTTTCAAGTGCCTTCTGAATACCAGACTCCATATTTAAACAAATCAAATATTGGAGATCAAGCAGATGCTATAAATCATCAAAATAGCTCCCTGTTCCCTCACCTCCCGGACAAACAAACAGGCATTAAAAGAAAATTAGTGTTGAAGAGCAGAGCCAGTGGGTAGGTGGTTTATAGCTTGTGGGTTGATGATCTGACAACATTTTAGCAGAGAACTTTGCTGCCTGGCAAAAAGCAGTGAGTTGCTAAACACTCAGAGATTGTTATGAATACTTAAGGGCGAATGTATTGTTTCCTAGAAATAGGGGCATTGTTTGAAAGCTATAGCCCTGCAACTATCACGATCTGCATCTTGAGGATGTGTCTTTCCTTGATTAAAAGCATTTAGATTCCTGGCAGGAACCACCTCCTCCTCTTCAACAGACTCCTACCTTCCTGAATTAATCACAGACCTTGTTGCCTCATTAAGTCTTGGTGTCATTTTCATGCTTATATTATTACAATGATACATACAAAGCTACAATATTCAATTTCTGTTTAAAGGATTTTTAAGGCTATACTTTGGAGATGAGAAATTTTGAATCATCCAGTTGATGCAGGAAATGAGTTTGCTGGCCTTTGGCAGAGTCATTGGAGGAAAGAAAAAGAGAAAGCAAATCCCCTGGGGCTTAAATCAAGGGCACTCTTAGGCTTCCAAGATACTTTTTGGAATAAAATAGTAATGGCAGTCACAAGGAAGTTTTACAAAGTAGCACACCAAAACTTTATCTTTTGGCTAATCGCATATTCCTGGTTAATTGAATAAGCTGGACTCAATCAAGGGCAAAAGAAAGCAGTTTTACTCTTTCTTCACCATTCTTTGAAACTTCTGTCAAATTATTCTCCTCCATCCTTGGATGAAGTCTTAGGCAGGAATCCTAGCTTTTCTGATCATATTTGGATATTAAAAACTCAGTATTATCTAATATTAACATGTTATACTGTCAATTGACTCAGAGTTTCTCTTTATGACCCCACTTTCCCCTCTCTCCACGCTCAGGCCTGAATCAAGCTCGCAAGCCTCAAATGGGAAAGGCCAGAGTGGGTTTGTGTGGCACAAAGGGATATTTTTTCTTTCTAGATCTGCCTGGTTGTGGTGATGCAGAGGTATTCTTTCTTTCTGGATCTATCTCCTCCTATACTTTCTAACTGCCCTCTGTGGCTGTTTGATGGTCCTTTCAATGGAGGAGGTAGATTAGAGGACAAAAGTAGTGTTCTCTAGCTATTGTCATGGACTTCCTGAGTTCCCACTCCTGAGGACCTCCAGTTTCCTTTCATAATAAGTGATGAGGGGCTAACTACTGCTTTCTTCACCACTTCCTACTCCACGTACTGCATCTCAGTTTGAAGCTTGAGATGGTCCACCACCACTCCTTAGAAAGACTGTTTTGGTGGATTCTCTTTTAATTTTTTTTAAGAGAGAGAGAGCACAAGTCAGGGAGAGGTGCAGAGGGAGAGAAAGAGAGAAATTCAACCAGACTCTATGCTCAGCATGGAGCTTCATCTGGGGCTTGACATCAAGACCCCAGGGTCATGACTTGAGCCAAAATCAGGAGTCAAATCCTCAACCGACTAAACCACCCAGACGCCCCTGATATATCTTTTAGATGACCCAAAGCCTGCTCTTTTTAATATAATCCACATGCAGACCACAAGAAACCTGTATGTTTGCCCCCTCAGGCTCTTATTTCCAAACACCTTACCAGGGGTCTCCAGAGGAACAAAACCAGTAGGATACGGAGATATCAAGACAGACAGATATAGAGACAGATAAATATAGAGGCAGATATGGGTATAAATATAGATATTGATATATAAAGAAATTTGTTATGAGGAATTGGCTCACGTGATTATGGAGGCTGACAAATCCCAAGAGTTGCAGTCAACAAGCTGGAAACCCAAGAGAGCTGATGGTGTAGTTCTGTTAGGAAGATCGGTTGGCTGGAGACCCATGAAGACGCAATGCTTCAATTCAGTGTTTCAATTCAGAGTCTGAATGCAGTAAAAATCTTCCCCGCTCAATGGCAGTCAGGCAGGAGACATTTCCCCTTACAAGTGGGAGGGGCAGCCTTTTTGCTCTTTTCAGGCCCTCAGCTAACTGGACAGAGCCCACCCACATTAGAGAGGGCAATCTGCTTTCCTCAGTCCCCAGTCAGAAATGTTCACATCAGGAGCACTTGAGTAGCTTGGTTGGTGGAGCATATGACTCTTGATCTCAGGGTTGTAAGTTTGAGCCCCATTTTGGGTATAGAGACTATATTTTAAAAAACAACAAAAAGGGGCACCTGGGTGGCTTAGTTGGTTAAGCGTCCGACTTTCACTTAGGACATGATCTCGCGGTTCGTGGGTTCGAGCCCCGTGTCGGGCTCTGTGCTGCCAGCTCGGAGCCTGGAGCCTGTTTCAGTCTGTGACTCCCTCTCTCTCTGACCCTCCCCTGCTCACGCTGTCTCTCTCTCTCTCCTAGAAATAAATAAAACATTAAAAAAAAATTTAAAAACAACAAAAAAAGAAATCCTAATCTCACACAGAAGCATCCTTATAAACAGCCCCCAGAATAATGTTTCACCAAATGTCTTGGTACCTTGATGCCCAGCCAAGTTGATGCTTAAGATGAAGCCTAACACCAATTCTCTTCACCTGCTGCACTAGTTCCCTTCATGATGCCTCTTCCCACTTACCTGTTTTCAGAGGAGGGACAGGTACTCATTCCTGATTCTTCCATGCCAGGCCCTCCCCTTCCCAAAATACTCCCCACCTATCCCATCGTACAGGGCACAGCTATAACATGACTCCATGGAGAACTTAGTTTAGCCCCATGCCAACATGAAACCCCAAATCCATGTCAGAATAATCAGAATGCCTGAAAAACATCGGGTCAATCTAACCTCTTTAATGTTTTTATGTCCCAGTATGACCCTATGTTTTCCCAGAACCTCTCCAGCTCCTCTCCCTACATCCAGTAGTGCCATCAGAAATAGACTCTGTTGGGGCGCCTGGGTGGCTCAGTCAGTTAACTTTCTGAATCTTGATTTCAGCTCAGGTCATGATCTCACGGTTCATCAGATTGAGCTCTGTGTCAGGCTCTGTGCTGACAGTAAGGAACCTACATGGGATTCTCTTTCTCCGACTTTCTCTCTGCCTTTCTCCTGCTTGTGCTCTCTTTCAAAATAAATAAACATGAAAGAAAGAAAGAAAGAAAGAAAGAAAGAAAGAAAGAAAGAAAGAAAGAAAGAAAGAAAGAAAAGAAAGAAAGAAACAGACCGTCTTAATTTCAACTCTGAACCCATTGATTTGGCTAAAGGAAAACAGCTCCACAATCTAACTGTTTGAAATGAAGTCTATCTCTCCATATGTAGATTATTAATCATCAGTACTATGGGAAGAAAATGGATGTTTACTCTTTATGAATATCAAGCTCATTCATTCAACAGATATTTACCAAGAGCTTAATGTGTTCAATGTCAGAGAAACACAGGTTAAAAAACTATGGTGTCTGCCTTTAAAGAGTCATATTCTGATGAGTTACACAGATGATCGCACATGTTCATAAGGTAGGAACATAAGTTCCAAATGTCCAGGACAATTCTCCAAAAGCCTTTGAATGAATAAAAACTGAGTGAGTTAGGCCAGTCCTAAGTGATAGACTATTTATTTCTATGAGACTAGGACAAACAGGGATGGATCAAGTTTTGTGAGCCCCTAAACTTTCACAATTTGGGAAAGCTACTTTAAGAAAATGAATACAAAAATTATGCCTTCACATTTTACAAAATCAGTAGACTATATGAGCATGTCCCAGAGGACATGGAAGGGACCCATGCAAGTGAGGGGGTCTGAAGCTAAAGTTTCATTAGCTTCATGTAAAATCTGCCTCAGCCCCAGTCCGTTTATTAAAGTATTAGGTCTTAAGGACTACTTTAGAATGTGTAGGGGTAAATCTAAGCTCTACAATCACACAGACAGACCTCTGGTTTGATTTAGCCTCTACCAGATACTTCTGTATATTATGGGAAAAGGTACTTAAATTTCCTAAACCTCATTTTCCTCCATTAGTAGAACTACTCTACATGGTAGTTGCAAAGATTAAGATACATAAGCATGGGGGCTCCTGGGTGGCTCAGTCGGTTAAGTGTCTGACTTCTGCTCAGGTCATGATCTCATGGTTTGAGTGTTCGAGTCCTGCACTGGCTCTGTGCTGACAACACATAGAAGGTCCTACATCTTCCCCTAATTACTGGCATAGAGAATTGCTCTGTCCATTAGCCAAGAGTCTTTACTTTTGCAGAGCTTAGCAATATAAGCAGGTATTACACACGTGGTAATAGGAAAGAATTTCCTTATAACATTTCTAAATTATGCACACATATGGTTGTTTAGGCCATGTTTATTTCAGCAAAAACAAATTTCAGTTCCTCAAATGGCTGAAGATATATTAAAGTGGATAACAGAATATATCTGTTCTTCTTTTTGACCACTTAAGCTTTTATAATACCACACCTAAAACAAGGAAAAGGAAACATTTACCAAGTTGATGTGGTTTTCAGAGTAAGGCTCACCAGATATGTCATATTTCTGGAAACATCAATGAAAAGAGGATGTTTGGTTTTTCAAATGTGTTGGCCCAACACAAATATAGCTATATCCAACAACATCAGACCTAGCCATATTTAGCCTACCCATGCTTAGTGTATTTCTTAAAACATGGTCTTTATCGCAATATTTTGTACTATGTTTAATTCTCAATATGTTCTGAGCTATAAGTTAAAACCAAGCTTTAATTCTAAATGAAAAAGAAA